GCCATCGCCGAATCCCACTCCTTTCGCCCTCAGTTTCGAACGCAGAAGAAACTGTCGCCCGCACGCTCGCCATCGCCCCCGTCCTCGCTCTCGTCCCTCCGCCATCGACTCCCTCTCCCTCCTCCCATCCCTCCTCCCTCTTCCAGCCCCACTCTAAATCAGCGAAATCAACTCTTCCATTTCTTTCGTCCTCCGCTGGCCTAGCTCTCCGCCCTCGCCCGCGGGCGGGGGCGAGCCATAGGGTGTGAGCATGGGCGTGGGCGTGGGCGTGGCGAGGGCGCTTAGCTGGGTTTTGGTGAGGAGGGGGTAATGGGGAGGCGGGGATGCTCTCGCCGAGAGTTGTGGATGTATTGCTCACGACGGCTGAATACAAGGCACGTTTCACGTTCCCATGTGCGCGAACAGATTCCAATTAATTAGTGCACGGTTCCATTGTCAACACATCAATTACGCAAGATCATTTCGCCTGCCTCTAATTGCTGTACAGTAGCCGTGAAGCGGCAGAATGTATCTCTGTATGATTACGAGGCGACCACACAAAAAACGAAAGCTTCTCACAGTCCAAGAAATATGAGAAATGTACCCGACAGTGAATAAATAAATAAATAATAATAACCTCTGATCTGAGCCTATACCATGTCCTCAATATTAAAATATCAAACCCTAATAATTGTAATTGTCTTAATACTCGTGTGTACACAAGCACGATTCCTGTGTATTTCTAATTGCTATTCGTACAATGTGAATTACCTTCATCATTCATACAAGCAAATCTGAACTCTGTCATGTAATTCTGAACCAGCAATAGCATTGTTTTTCTTGGAAATTAGGAATGTCTTCAATAAACGAAAACCAGCAATTTGTCCAGATTTCTTTCTTCAAAACAGGAGATTCCATTTTTAATTGCACTTGTACTTTCCATTTATTTATGAGAATCACCAGCCGAAGGGAAAAGTAGCTGCAATGCCGAATTGCACCTCAAAAAGTTTCTCGCAGTACGCGAAAGTTCCTGGGAAAGAATCACATCTCCATAAGGCTCATTTTCTCTGCACATCGACATAAAAAGATTTGCATAAAAAGAGGAGTTTCATGGAAGTCCTTCCAGTATATTTCCGTACAACGGGATACTTAGAAAACTAGTTGGGCAAAGAAATTAAAATGATAGTTTTACTGTTTTATAATACGCCACATTTAGAGAATAGGAGAGAAATTCTCACTACATGAGCCTATTTCATCACGGATATAAAATTTTGAAATATTTTTGTTATCTTGTGGTAATTGACCAAAGATAATATTTAATACTCAACATAACAAATCAGCGTCGCCACCACTCTGAATATTTGTGGGTCCTGAATGACTTTAAAAGTCTTCAAATGTAAGCGATTGAGCCATCATTTCAGTATTTATTTTGGAATAGCTATTTTAAAAAACGCGTTCCGGGTAACATTTTTGTTTCCAATAGGGCAAAAATTCCAACATTAACCGATTTCTCTTAGCAAAACCACAAAAATTTATAACTCTACACACTGCTTCCAGTTTAGTAATGCGATCGATCCCACGTGTGGATCAGTGGCTTTGAAATCATTTGTGGCCTACCGGTCGCGACCTTGGCCAAGCCCAAACGAGCCATTAGGGCGCAGCTGCCGCCGACCCCGCGAGTCTTCCCAAAACGCGAGAGCGCGCGGTTCCCGCCACTCGGGGGGGCGCTGGGCGAAACGCCACACTTTTACAGCCACCGAAAGTTCCGGAACGCTGGGCGAGGCGACCTCGGGGCGAGCAGCAAGGAGCCCGCACGGCCGGCCGATGCAGGCGTGCCTCAAGGCTCACGGCGCAAACGCAAATAGCACTTGCGCGTTGCTGCTTCCCAGAGCATTCTTACTTAACAACACTTAAATTGCGAACATCGAGGTATCCTACTTCTTTGGTAGTTTAATATGCATGATGCCTAAGCATAATACAGACTATAGGAATATTTTCTTTGCTGCGTGGATCATGGCATTGAAATTTCTGAAAAGCATGGTGGAAACGCTGGTGCTTGTTAGTCAAGAATTTTTCAGAGTTAAAGAATTCTCTAGCTTCTCAACTCGTGGTTCACACCTTAAAATATCTAAATCTGGAGTAGGAATCCATGATAGTTCGTTCTTGACAACACCGTTTTAATTAGAAACAGTTTGTCAATTTTCTCTCGCTATGAATACTTCGAGAGATTTGAATCTCTCAAAATCGAGAAGCGAATCACTGGCGCTGCTGTTCGTGGCTTCGCCCCGTCATTTGTTTCCCAGAATAAGGCAGCCTCGGTTCCCCAAGGCACAGCGCCTGCACGGCGGCCGCGCTCGAGCCTTGTCGCACACCAAGACAATGGGCTCAGTCCCATTCTTCCTCCGGCAATTAAATGCCGGAGACGTTTCTTGTAACAGTTTACCTTAACTGTATTCGGATCGTGAATGTATTCAGTATTGTTGGCTTGCGTTTCGTTTTCATCATGTGAAAGGTTTTCTGTCGGGATGTTGGGGCAAAATGCAGTCGTGAATATAATTGATGATAATTTCGGGAATAAAACCCAAATTTCTGGTTGCATATTACAAACTATTGTCCCAGTTAGAGACGGGAATGGAGGTCACGCGAAATATATAATCTGCTAAATACTTACACGCGTGTAGCTGGGCGTGCTACCCATTCGTAATTCGATAAATGCGGTACGCCATCTCAAATCATTGTTACGACGTGAATAATCAAACAACTGGACTAATTGTGCTAGTGTTACGATTTTTGAAAATTTACTACATTTTCTTAAATAAATAATCTTGCAGCACTTAGCAATCAGTACTCAGAAGGAATTCAGCTGATTCAATCAAACAAATTTATAGAATGATTCAATCCAGTAGTATCTGTGTATCATTATCAGCAATAGGTTCACTGATCCGCTAGGTAACCGGGGTCAAACATCAACGAGTCGTATTAAATGTTTCGAAAGAATCGATGCACTTAATGAACTGTTGCAAAAGTGGCCATAAGCGTCGGTCGCCGAGTCGGATGAGTCGTCGCGGGGCGTCGCGACGCGACGTGCTTCTGGCCGTGGCCGCGTTCCCCTCCGCTGCGCCCCGCGCGGCCTTCGCTTCCCCTCCCCTCTGCTGCGCTGCGCTGAGATACTTCCGTAGGTGTTTGTTGTCTGCGTTCCGCCGTGCCGCCCGGAGGGGAGGGTGGCGTGGTAGGAGAGGGATGGAAGCGAAGCGCGCGGCGCGGCGGAGGGAACCGGGCCACGGCGCAGAGAGCACGTCGGCCGCGACGCCGCGCGCGACGGACTCATCGATCGGCGACACGCTGTATGCCACTTTTGCAACAGTTCATTAAGTGCATCGAATTGTTCGAACATTTAATAGCGACTCGTTGATGTTTGACCCGGTTACTAGCGGGGGGATCAGGTGAAAAGCCTGATTGCTGGGAATAGATGATGAGCACTAGATACTACTGGGATTGAATCATTCTATTATATATGTGTTGATTGGATCAGCTGAATTCCTTGGCTGGTACGTGATGCTAAGTCTGCAATTATTGTATTTAAAAATGTAGTAATGTTTCAAGGAATCGGTAACACTGACACAATTATTCCAGTGTTTGATATGTCGCTGCCGTTAACCAATGATTTGAGATGCGTACCGCATTTATCGAAGTTGACGAGGGATGGGGGGGGTGAGCACGCCCAGACTACACGCGTGTAGAGATTTAGCAGATTATTATATTTCGCGAGTGACCTCCAGTCCCGGTCTGCTAAATCGACAATGTAGTGTTAATATGCAACCAGAAATTTGGGTTATTCCCGAAGATATCATCAAGTATATTCACGACGGCATTTTGCGGGCGCCAACATCCGACAAAGGGAAAGTCCGTTTGCACATGATGAAAGCGGGAGAACGCAGCCAACGAATGACTGGAATACATCACGGCCGAATACATTAAGGTTAAACTTTACAAAACGGTCGCCGGCTAGTTAATTGCCGGGAGAAGAATGGGACTGAGCGTCATGTCTTGGTGGTGCGGCAGCGTCGACGCGGCCGCCGTGCAGGCCTGTGGCCTGATGGGAAGCGGAGGGTGGCGCGGGTATTCTGATCGGGAAACAAGATGGCGGGGCGAACCGACGAACATGCAGCCCAGTATTTGCGTTCTGGCGATTTGAGAGAGAGTCAAAAGCTCTAAGAGGGGTATTCCATAGGGCGAAAACAGAAATTGACAAACTCTTCTAAATAAAACGTGTTGTCAAAAAGAAACAATCGTGATTGCCTACTCCAGATTTAGATATTTTACAGGGTGTAATTAACGAGTGAGAAGCTAGGGAGAGTTCGTTACTCGGGAAAAATTCGTGTGACTAGAGCAACACCAGCGTGTGTCCAGCTTCCCTTTCCGAAATGGTCAATCCATATCCAGCGCAGCAAAGAAAATATTCCTATATCTGGTATGTATGCGTAGCATCATGCATATTAACTACCAAAGAAGTAGGAAACCTCAGATGTTCGCAGATTTAAGTGTTTTAGAGTGGAAGGAATCTGCTGCGGGGAAGCAGCAAACGCGCAAGTGCGATTTGCGTTTGCGCCGTGGAGCCTTGAGGCAGCGCGCGTGCAGTGCGGCCCCGGCGGGTGCGCGTCCTGCTGACTCGGCCGCCGGGGGCCGGAGTTCGCCTGCCCAGCGTTCGCGAAACTTTCGGTGCGGTAAAGGAGTGGTGGGCGTTTGCGCCAGCGGCGGCCCGCCGAGTGGCGGGGAACGCGCGCGCTCTCTCTTTGGAGACTCGCGGGTCGCGGCGAGCTGCCGCCTGCTAGACGCCTCGTTGGGGCTGTTGCCCAAGGGAGTGTCGGGCGACCGTAGCCACAGAGATGATTCAAGCACTGGAGTACACTCCGGTGGGATCGATGGCGCATTACTAAACTGGAAGCAGGTGTTGAGTTATAAATTTTTGTGTTTTGCTAAAAGAAACGGTTAATTTGGAATGGTGCCCTAGTTAGAAGACAAAAAATGTTTACCCGGAACGCTTTTTTAAAAGAATAGCGTGATTCTAGAGAAATAAATACTTAAAAAAATGGCCCAATCGGCGGTAGCATTTGAAGGGACTGTAAAAAGTCATTCAGAACCCCCCACCAAATAATTCGAGTTGAGTGGGGCGCGGCTGATTTTTTAGGGGTGAGTATTAAATGATTTTGATTTGTGGTGTCCAAGTTACCAGCAAGGGGGATGTGTAAGACGAAGAAAGAAAGATTTTGCAAAGAATTGTTGGTAATTTTGTGGATTTCAGTGATTTGGGGGAAAATTAGGCCCCTCATTATAATTTTCTTCTCCTTTATTTTCTTAAAGTGGTTGGCGTATATAAAAACAGTAAGAGAACTAGTCATGTAAGTCGTTCCCAAGCTGGGAGTATTCTTC